TATTTGTCCCCCTCCTGCCTCGGTGCAATGCTTAAAGCTTCATGTCTTGGCTCCAACACTGAATCATGTAGAGTCTGTGCTGTCAACACTGTTGCTTTCTGTGCTGGCGGTTTGTCTGTTGCACATAGGGAGGACACCAGAGTCTATGGGGGAGGAGACGGTGCAGTCTATTAGCGAGGGGGGAGCTGCTGCGGCGGTGCGGTCTGGATCTACGCTGGAATTTATCGAGTCAAAGACCAGAGAAACAGCTGAGTCTGGTACAATGTCTGTGACAGTCAGGGGGTTGGATTCTGGAGTTGAGGTCAGCACAATGTCTGTGACAGGGAGGACAGCAGGAGACATGTCCTCTGAGGACGTATGGTCGAAGTCAGTGGGTCGAGGAGGGGTCAGGTTTGCTGAACTCGGGGGAGTGGAGGAATGACTAGATGATTCTTTACCACAGGGAGGAGCTAGGTCTAAATGAGGTGGTTGAGGGTCTGTATTTAAAGGAGTAAATGCAGATTCATCTGCTTTTTGTAACTGGGGGGAGCTATCAGTTTCTGGTGTAATGGAGGGAGGAGGAGGAGGAGGAGGAGGCTGGGTGAGAATGTTCGAGTCCACCACAGGAGCAGGGGAGGGAACAGGAAATGGAGCGAGACTGTCATGCATAGCTGGAGAATCTGCTAACGGGGAAGGGGCACCTTGGAGCAACGGTGGGTCAGAATTTGTAACGATCTCGTCAACATCTTTCTCCTGCAGGTCTGGAGACTCTAGCGTGGAGCTGGGAGGGGGCTCTAGGACAGGTGTTGTGCAAATCAACAAAGAAGCAGGCACAGTGTCAGGGATGATGGGAGTAGAGGAACCCAGTGACGCAGCAGGGCCCGAGTTGTCTTCACTTGTGGGACAGCGAGAAAGGTGATTCCTTTCGAGCTGGCTACCGACTTCAGGAAGTTCATATGCATCAGCTAACAGTGGGTCTGTGATGCCCGGGGCTTTGTGTAAAGGACTGGAAGACAAAAGGTGCTCTTTTTTGACAGGGGTGATGGCATTTACATCCAGAGCGGTTACAGGGGCTGGGGATGGAGAAGGAACGGTGCGACCGTTGGGGTCTTGAGGCCTGGGCTGGCTGGGTCGTTCCATTACGTGAACAGGGGTGGACGTGTCTCTGACCACGGTAGAAGTCAAATCAACAGCTGAAGAGGCAGTAGACCCCATGGTTGACACGGCGGTAGTGGCCGCTTCGTGAAGCGGCGTGTCTTGCACCCTGGTGCAGTCCCTGCTGCTATCAGACCGGGTGAGCAGGTGACACTGCTCCCCCTGCTTCCTCTGGAGCAGTAACGGTAGAGTGTAGTGCTCGACGTCGTCCAAGGTCTCGGGGAGCGGCTGGTCGCGCGTCTCGGGCAAAAGGAGAATGCAAATGATGCAAATTAGAGTACAGCAGGCAAAAATTATGTGGTGGAGGAAATAGCCCTTCTGATTGTGCAACTCCATGATGGGGGCAGTGAGCATGCCGAAACCAGCGCTGGCCAGCACGAGGCCCAGACCACCACCCCTAATAGAAACACAACAAACATTAGAATTATATGTCTTGTGGGATTATTTGAAACATGTGTTAAAATGTCCTACAAATACTGACATTTACTAAAACAATGCCTTAAATATTTAGTGAAATCTACAATGTTAAAAAGATGTTTTTGCCATTTATCAATCTGAGCTGTCATTTTATCAAAAGGGCAATAGAGAGTGCTGTTGTACCACCAGGACCATTGTCCTCCTGTCATTACCCACATACAACACTAGATGGCAGTTCTGAGGTACTTTCAGCATCCCAACACCAACTGACTGACTTCACACAAAGGAAGCCTCCCTTCTCTTTATATTCAGAAATAAGATGGAGTCGGCCATTGACAGCAGTTTGACTGTTTAATATCAGTCACGAGGAGCTGAATCTGCCAATTCAACCACACAACGGATTTTGAGGATTAGAAGCAACCATTGTGTTCGCTAAACTGGAAACTGATCAAATATTTTTACACATCTGATGTTTAAAAATACACACGTTCCTTATTTCCGACCCCTTCAGGTGCAGTTAGGTCTTAGAGGTTTACCTGATCACAGTGGGCGTGATCTCAGCACAGAAGAAGATGCTCAGGTTGCTGACCGCATGGGAGGAGAACATACCGATGATGGAGAAGGCGATGGAGAAGTTCTTATTCAGTGTGTCGGAGCGATCAGCTAACAAAGCAGGACACACACATACACACACAGAACAGTTTTACTCAGCACACTGTGGAAGTAGTGATTGGGTAACAGTATTCTGTATGTAAATACAGAATAAACTTTTTTTTGTTAATGCTTCACAGAGGAAACTCAAGTGTTATTTTAAGCAATTTAGTTAACTTTAATATGGACAAAAACTGTGAGGGTGCAAAAGTATATATTAAATCTATATAGGAGCAGAGAGAGGCCATGAGTTGATATACAATATAATATTCTTAAAATTTAGATAAGAGCATCATCTTCTGCACATTTGCAAAACCATCTTCATATGTGCACGGATAAAAAGATGTAAAGAAGGAAGAGTACTTCAGTGGTCAAAGTCTGCAGTTACTTATATAAACTTATCTTTCTTTCCTGAACTTTATGACTATGATAACAGACAGGACGTACTCTGATGATCAGTTTTCACTTTCACCACTGAAACTTGTGTAATGTGATTTTTATCATATTTTGTATCAAAACTTGAATAAAAGAATTCAAGCATTATCATCTCCTGTATGCAAATTACACAAAATATCTACTAATAATAGAAAATAAACTTGTCAGTATGTCCATATGCCAGTAAACTGCTTTCATATTTTCACCGCATTAATATCTAATTTAAGGACTTGTGGGGAAAGTGATGGCAAATAAAAGCCAACTGATTCCTCAGATGGCCTAAATATTGAGTTATGAATAAAAAATGTGGAGTGTGGCAAAGAGATCAGAGGAGTCTGTTCTGCGATCGTTACTTGTTTCTTACAATAGTTCAAGGGGGAGAAAAGAAGAGTAAAATGAGTACTCGGTAACACCTGGACACAAAAAGATAAGTAAAACAACACCCATCAATATATGTAGAAATTCATTATGACCATCTACAGAACTTGTATGCACCTAATGAAATCCATGCAGCTCATTTTCCTAATCAGATTCCACACTGAAACTCTTACATTTGATCAAATGTAAAAGAAAATTAAAACTCGGCTGATGCACTTACCTATGTTCAGATGGGTACTGTACTTCCACAGCACTAGAAAGGTAAACAGATAAACAATCGATGAGCAAAAGTAATCACTAGTACTCAAACAAGAAACTTTCAATCAGGTCAAATTAAACACAAAAATCATGCAGACGTATCACGCAAAGCCTGATAATAGTTTAACAATCCAGACATCTTCAAACAAAACTTGAAACATGAGCATAACCTTGGTGTGCTGACTCAAGCTAAGCATCAAGTCCAGCTTGTTTGTTACAGAATAAACGGTTGTGATCGTCTGCAGGACCTTTGATACACAGTAACTACAAAAAATTAAGTATTCTGTTCAGTTACTCCACTCAAAACCTAAAGTCACATTTTCTGTGAACAAGTATTCGCACACAAGAGCCAAGAGATAAAAAATAAAATAAAAAAAAGTGCCTGAAGTTATTATGTTTCACGTTATTATGCATTTGGAGGATTTGTGCTCGTGACGCACGTGTTTTCAGAGCGCGCACTTTGAGCATCTGTAAAGCATGTGTTCCCAGCGACGTCAGCTGAAGCTCTGATCTGCTCAGAGGGCTGCAGTTCACGATGAGAGCGAGACGGTATGCATACTATATGTATTATTGAGCTTAAATACTTGAAGTACTCCTACTATGATTTATCCGTTGTATTAGCTGAAGACAGCCAGCTATTAGCTGCTCAGTACCAAAAGAAGTGAAAAAACTTGCCAAGAAAACTGCCAGCAATCATACCGCATAACAATGGACTGGTCAAGCAAAGGCTTTGTAGAATATCTGACCTTGATTTGTGATCTTGACCTTAAGAGGTGGGGTGGTGAAAAGATTATGCAACACGCTGTCTAGTGGTGGTACAAATGTGTATCAGGTTTTGTTAAATTATTTTTTAGCAAATTAGAAGTTATGGCTCAGCAAAGATTTTGTAAATTTAACTTTGATTTGTGACCTTGACCTTGAAAATGGGATAATGAAAAAATGATGATATGCAGACAGACAGTGACTATATCAAATGTGTGTCTGCTTTTTGACTGGTGTATAAAAGAAAGCATTTATTTTTATGCTTTCTGTATTCAGTGAATTGCTTAGAAGGTAAAAAAAAAAAAAAGGTAGAAGTGGATGAAATGATCTATGTACCGGTATGTTTTTACAGTTTGACAGCTCAATGTTTTTGTTTTTTTACATACTAAAGATTTAATATAGCGCCATGCTAGCTGGTTCTCCATGCTAAAAGTATTTTTGCTAATCGGATCAACTGTTGGCTCAAGCTTTACATTTAGAAGGTATATTATAGAGGGTATTGATCTCATTGCATACATTTGAACAGGAAAGCAAAGAATACTCTTCCCATGAAGTAGAAAATCATTCTCCTCAAACAGTGGTGGGATGTAACAAAGTACAAGTACTTTGTTGCTATACTTACCGGTAAGTACATTTTTCATGTATCTGTACTTTACATAAGTAGAGTTAAACGTAGATACTTTCTACTTTTACTCCACTACATTTTACATTAAGTATATGTACTTTCTACTACACTACATTTCTATATTGCGTTACAAGTTACTTTCACGTTGTGTTTTTTGATTTGTTCGTTAGTTTGAAAGTAACCAATGGTGAGAGGGGAGTTGATCCATTGAATCACTTCAAACTGGGCAGATAACGTTAGACCCGCCTTCAAGAATAGCTGGACCAGTGACGTATATTCTAGTATATACATCATTGAGCTGGGAGCACCCGCAGCACTGCTAACACACACAAAATGGATTCCACCGCTGAGAGTCAGCCAGAAGATATGCACCACCCATGACCTTATTGAAAGACTATTGAAAGACTATTGAAAAATTATTGAAAGACTATTGAAAGACTATTGAAAGATTATTGAAAATTATTCATTACATCAGGACAGATTCTCTCTCTCCCAAAAGAGCCAGACTGGACTCAATAAACTTTGAAAACCAACGTCTTCTGAGCTTGAACAAGAAATTCTTGCTGCAATATTAAACTGTGTCAGTTCATGATGTTAGGAGACAAGAGATGTCTCCAAATGTCTCGACACTCGGGTCCAAGTTTTGAAAATGGTGTCAGAAGTTAAAATATTGTTCACTATTGACCCATTACAAGGTCGACTAGACCGTATTTTAACTAGAGTTGATGACAAACTGGACTTGAAATGATCAGATGTTCCTTTGTTTGGTCTAATGCTCCTTTTGTCAGTCAGACAACTTTTACTTAAACATGTTTACTGCAGTTAAAATGACACATTGGTTTTACTTTGTGTTCAGTAAAAAAATTCAAAAGTATAATCATTCTTCTTTCTTATTTTGATCAATGTCATTTTACTCTGCAGGTCATCCCTGAAATTCTGACAAACAGAATCACGAGTCCAAGTGTGAACTGCGTCACAGAGTAAACACAATAAAAACATGTATTATCTGCAGCATCGTTCATTAAAATGACTCAACACTATTAATGTATTACAGAAAATATACATACGGTAGGTACATTTAATGATATTGTAGAGCATTGCATTAAGTAATACACTCAGCAAGTACTTTTACTGTTAATACTTTAATTATTTTTTAAAGCAAGTGCTTACTTTTACTTCAGTAAAAACGTTAATGTGGTACTTCTACTTTTTCTATACATTTTTGTCTGTTTATTTGTACTTTTACTAAGGTGCGGTGTTTGAGTTCTTTCTCCACCACTGTTCTCAAATAACTAAGTCTTATTTTGACAGTTTCACCGAGTGTTTCCAGCCGTGGTCAAATCCCAGAGCGGTGACACTCAACGGTGACAGGAACTTATTACACAACATGTTTTTTGAAGTGTGAAGTACTCACAGTTGAGAAGACCCAGTTGCAGCAGCGATGCCAGGGCGGTGATGATCATGAACAAGAGGAGCCCACCACGTCGGCCCATCAAACCTACCGCCGGGCACAACGCCAGGCACGATGCCACCGCTACACCTGCCATTGTGTAATAGTAAGTATAGAAGTTGTGGAACATTGTGGTTTCCTGGGCTTCCTGATCCATCATGCTTCGGGCAAAGCAGTGGTGGATCCCATACCCTGTTAGCCTGGGTACAAAGTAAGCAGAGGGAGAAGCAGTTAGTGGAAATCACAGAGAATTATTTCACCGTACAAAGGAGGCATTTAGTTGTAATGTGTATAAAATAGTATATACAAAACATCCAAGAGAAAGAACAGGAAAAAGAGAAAGTCAGCATCCTTCTGTTGACTCATCGCAACATAAATTCAGAGGAAAACCTCCACAAATGTAAACACTGGCTTATTGACACAAAAGAACATAGGCACGCACACACGCACAAACACAAAAAGCAAAGCAAACACACATACATCCTCCCTCCTGGCCGTCTAATGTTTCCCGAGGACAAAACTCATGTAAGATTTATGCTAACTTAGGGAGTCTGGGATGCCGTGCACTGAAGCAGACATAAAGCTACAGATGAGCTCTCAGACAGAGAGATGAGGAGAGGGGAGGTCCCAACAGAGACTCAAACAAAGAGCAACACCGATATGGAAGATGGAGCTGAAGATCAATGCTTTATTGATCGGACAGGTTTAAATTGGCATCTCGGCTGCACAAAATGGCAGCTCTGACTGGCATTACCATGATTTGTTTTCTTTCGTTGCCTTTATACCCCCACTTATCTTTATGTTGATACCGATACGTCCTGTCAGATTTTGAAGCGCTAATACACTCACGAGTTGACACACAGGACGACGATGTTCTTCCACAGGTTTCTCGTTCCGACCATTTTCACGATGCACGTCTTTTTGGGCTTCTTTTGAAGAGCTCTTTGTAGTTCTGACAACAAACAAAAAGAAGTTCAACAATCAACAGCTGCTTTTTGGAAAGAGGTGGCATATTATTTAATGATTTCTTTATGAAGAAAACAAAAAAAATCTACATGTATTCCTTTAAAATCTCTTTCATAGGGGTGGTCTTCTGTTTTGTAGTTGATGTTTCGCTGCACATTCGAGAAGCTCTCTAACTTCAAAACAGGAGAATGTAGAATTCCAAGCTTTAAGAGCTGCATGAGTTGCACCGTTGTGCAACCTAGATTCAAATACAGATTAAACTGACTCCTCTCTCAATGGGTATGGGTGTCCAAAGTGTGGCCCGAGGGCCATTTGCGGCCCTTGGAGTGATTTTGTGCGGCCCACAACTGCAGTTTAAGAATGGTATCATTTTGGTCAATAGGAATAAGATGTCAGACTTTCTGTAAATTTATTGGTACAGCCAAACAGACAAAAAAAACAATATTCCCAAAATGAGCAATATTAAACAAAATACAAACCTTTAGCTATAATATTTTTATTTTCACTTCATGGTACAAAGCACCAAAACCTTTACTGATTCCTATGAGAACAGAAACTTTTGGAGAATGATTTGTAAAACTTGGCAAAATATGGCAGTTGATAAAATAATCAAGAGGGAAATTGGATATGAGCTGATCAACTTTATCAAATCTTCTATGAATCTGTTGTAGCGACTGGCAGCTGGATGCTTTTTCAGAACTTGGATCAGCGTTTTGGTCCATCCATGGTCCAAAAGGCTGATCGACCTTTTAAAAGGACACTTACTTAAATTAGGCTTTTGTTGCCAAGAACAGGCTAAAATGAACTTTCCAAACACAAGAAAACAACATAGACTCATCAAATCGAATGAATCAAATAACTTTTAATAAAAAATATAAGCTTAGTGTTTATGAAGCTTTTAAAGTTTTGGATCTACAACCATTTAAAACTTTCTCCACCAAAATGAGTAAATTTGTCCTTTCGTCAACATTTTGCTCACGTTGAGAGTTAAATTCACATTTTTGTGGCCCACAAGTCCTTTCATCTTGATGGTTTTGACCCACATATGAAAACATCTGGACACCCCTGCATTAGGGTCTTTGCCTGGTGTACATGAGAGATGCTTTGTGCTCATGCATGAAGGTGAAAATTAGAGGGAAAGTGATTGGGTTTCAGGCTTATTGCTCCATTAATGCTCCTATAAATAAAGTAAGCAAACTCTTTTTACCATGTGTGCAATATACAGTTTAGTTGAGCATGTGATGCACAGTGATATGTTGTCACATATTGCATTCAAATATATAACAGTATTTGTATTTAAAAGTGACTGGGATTTAATTATGGAGAGGATGTCTACAGTTAATTTGTGGTGAAGTGATTTACGTTTTTGTCCGGTTCGTTTTCTTTTCCATTCTTTCTTTTTTCTTGTCAGGAATTATTCTTGAACTGATTTATTCACATACTTGGAAAGGACAGAATGTTCTGATGTAAAGAAATTATAACGTTGTCAAGAGGAGAAAAAAGAAGAATAAAACAGCTAAATGATCATGGAGTTTAGGTTTGTCCCTAATTCTCCTCCTGACAGTCGTCATGCTGGTCAAAATGTTCACCTCAAACAAAAATACAGCAAGGCAGCAGAGTGAAAGCTTCACTAAAAGCAGCTAAAACACAAACCTGAAGCACAATTTGCTTTTAGAAAAACATTCTCTATTCTGCCTGACATAGCAGCTTTAAAAATATATATATTTTTTTACTTCTAAGCAATTTAAGTCTGTGAGTTGCAAATGCTTTACTTCCTCATATTACTTAACTGCAGCTTAACTGATTCCAGATCTGAATATGGACCAAAAAGAAATCACTATTTTGCCTACAAATTTTTGGCGCATACTTGCAAAGAAAATATTAAAAATGTTACAAGATTTTCTAAATAGTGTTGTGTACACTTTAACTAACGGCAAAAGGGCAGGGACGGTTTTACCCATGTTTGTGTGTTTGTGCATGTCAGTGTGTGTATTTGTCTGCACAGTTAACAAAATATCTCATGAACCAAAAGACAGACTTTAAAGAAAGTCTCATGATAATCACAGGTTGATCAATCAAAGTTCAAAGATCAAAGTTGATCAATCTACAATTGATCAACTTTTACAGTTCATTCCATTCAAGATGGCCTCCATTGCTAAGTGACATTAGCAAACACAAAATGGCTCTAACTCATCCATTTCTATACATATTTAGCTTAAATT